TATCGCGATATATATTGATATCGAATTATTGTCCAGCCCTAAAATAGACAGATAATAGCTTGTCTACCTCCTGCCAATATGCTTCATAGCTATGTATTTTGCTGCATGAAACTAAAATGAGGCATGGCTTACTTTTGGTTAGGAAATGTGCAAGAGCCTTAGCTGCGGCAGCAGAGTCTGCTGGAAAACAATCAGAAATGTTTCCAGCACCCAGGATAAACATCAAGATAACTGCAACCTGCTGGTCTGTCATCCCTTTCTCTTCAAGCTAAGAAACTGAAAACTTTCCAAATTTAACCTTTTGTATTACAAGACATATAAGACAAGCGCAAAGTGCAACTAACATTTATAGGCATATGCGGCACGGAAAAAACAGACTTCGCACCAGCAAACTCTCTTTATTCAGAGGCGTGTTTTGGGCGTAACATGCAATGAACCAACCAGGAAGGCGTGTCACCTCACCTTTAAAAAGCAGCGACGCAAAATCTACAGCGGATTGCTATTACAATTTGCACGTTTTCCCGGCGAGCCAGATCACCTTCTTCCCGAGTAAACGGACGTGCTCATACGCATCTACGGGAGCGCCACTGTTCCATCTGAAGCAGGCGTGGGATGAGGTAGCAACGAGTGTGTCCTCGTTTTCTGGCATCAGCTGATCATCTGCGTATTGCCGAAAGAGATATAATGATGTCAGAAGACGGAGACAACAGAAGCTCGCTGCTGAACAAGAGCAGCAGGTGGGAAGGGGGACTTAATTATGCTTGTATGTTTGATTTTAATTTTGAGTCTGAGATCACAAAATATAAATAAAGGTACAGTACAATCTTTGTTCATAAAACCTCCAGTTTTTAAGGGTGTTTTAGAATGTTCAAATAAAAGACAATAGGGCTGTTGTTTTCCTACATCTCACGATTTAGATTCCTTACCAGGCTACAGACGATTCAGCTCCTCTGCCAGCTGACCCCTCCTTGCCCGCGCTGCTGCCAGCGTACACTCCTTTGTTGGCATCGGCACATGCGGTTCAGCATCACGCCTTCTGAAGTCCTATAATGTGTCCTCATTTATGTCCGACAGACATCCATCACGCATGGTAATGTCACGCAACATACAACATACCACAAAGAATACCGTGACCTTCTGAGGGCTGCATTGTAATATTTACATGACTTAATATCTGAAATGCATTTTCAGCCATCCAAATGTCCTTTCAGTTACAGTATTACAGTATTTAATCCAGATAATGAACTCGAAAGGTTTTTTAAAGATACGGTTTGTTCTTTACTTAATATATTGCTTTTCTTGTGGTGTTACATGAAACAGTATGATTACAGGAAGGGACCAGATGTACTCTATGATAAAAACATATACAATATGTATAAATTAAATAAAATAAAAAACCATCAGTGCACCTGGAGTGCATACCTGTGCCAATAACGAGTGTTGTGTGCCCACACGTTTATAAACGATGCGGCACCATTTTATAAACGATGCGGCACCATTTAACAATGATTCTAACCTATTACTATGTGCAAAATGTTTATGGCGTCAAACATACTACATACAAGACAAAGCAAGCACAGGTGATAACTGTTTTTAAGAAACAAAATAAACACCATGCTACAGTGAAATAAATTATTTTTACTCATCAGCCAAAATGTAGCTCATAATTGTAATATTGACAAGAATCCTAAATATAAAACAAATTATCACTTTAAGAAAATACATTGATGAATGTTGAGTAATATTCATACTCATACAACTACTTTAAAGTAGTACTAATGATAATATTTTAGTTAATGCTTCAGATAAGGTCATTATTAATTTTTTTAGTTAACTTGCCAACTGAAGAAGCAGTTTCATGTTCATTCTCATGCAAAAACTCACTGATACTATAATACACTGACTCTACTGCTGTTGGACAGAAGCAATAAATGAAATCTGCATATTATTCCAGATATTATATTAAATACTATATTAGGGGCGTAACGATACAGAAAAATCGGTTTTGAAATCACTGTTCGGTACGTTTTTCACAGAACCCCATAAGAGACATGGGGGGATAAGTTGAGATGCACTTTTGTGAGATCTTGCAAAACGCCATGTCTGTATTTCAGAAAGTCTATAATAAATCTTAGATTTAATAGGCAATATCTAATGCATATTTCAGATAATAACTAACACAGCAAAGTTCCAGGATTGACATGACCTAACCACTACTGCACCTGTAATACAAAACAGTGTGTCAATAAGTAAATAAGTATGATTGTAAGTGTATGAGTATCTACCCAGCACACAGCCATCGCCACCCCGCCGCTTCAGGCAATGCACAGCGAGATCATGAAGAACAGAGCACGCCAAGATGACGCTGCCACTTTCCTTAGTGGGGTATGGCAAGAGGTTGAATGGTGCAAACTACACACATGTGGAACCCTGGCAGAGACCTGAACCCAGGTTCCAGAGGTGTTCCCACTGCACCGTGCTGATGAAGAGCAGAACTCCTAGAAGAAATGTTATCACTGTGTCCAATACTCACTTTGCCAGATATGAGGGTCACGTATCTGGAATTTACAGCCAACTCCTGTCTTAATTCCCCACTTTCAGCCCCATATTTGTATTAAATTTTGATCTTGGGATTGACTTTTTACTTGGACTGACTACCCTTGTTGGATTGTGATTTACCTTAGTTGTGTTATCTTATAACTGGTGTATTTTATGTTTGTCCCTGGGTAATTCTGTATACACAAAGGGTAGTGGCTGCCTTTTTGGTTCCTGTTTATATGTGTTTGGGCTGTTTTGGCTAGTTAGGGAGTTAGGGGCAGTGTTTGCCTTTTATTTGTAATTTCTATTGTTTTAGGGTATGTACGTTTTATGCACCTAGTTAGTCATCTGTTTTTTTTTGTTGTTTTGGACTGGGCCATTCTTGAACTTCGCGTTGGAGTTTCTGTATCAAAGTGTTTCTCGTTGTAGTTCACGTACTGCTCTTCTCTCTGACTGAAAATCACGCAAATACAAATGTTCCATGTCATATTGAACTTGGGTACTAATATATCAATCATGTTAGAATAGACTTGCGGTGTGATGTCACATGTTGTAGCAGGATGGACTGTACAGGATAAAACAATAGCTACAATTTAATAAGATAGAGAAAGTATCACCATGACATTAGTAATTTCATGACACAGCTGACATGCATTTCTTTTTGTCACAACACAAAATAACAGTATGCCCATCCATCCATTCATCCATCCATCCATCCATCCAACCAAAACAGGGTCACAATACAAGTAGGCCTAATAGTCATAAAATCAGGGATGGGCCGATCAGATTCCGATACCAATACAAAAGCTCTTTTTACTTTAATATTTTAATATAATAAATACATAATAATAAATATTTATATATTCCATCACTGTAACTGCTTAATCCCAAATGGGGTCGCAGGGGGGGAACAGAGCCTATCTGGGGAACAATGGGCACAGGCGGGAACCAACCCTGGGCAGTCGGCAACACTCCGCAGGGCACACACACACACAAACACAGGGCCAATTTAGACTTCCCAATCAACTTGCCCGCTTTTGGACCGTGGAACAAAACTGGAGCCCCCATGCGAACTCCATACAGAAAGAACATATGCCCAACCCCGGGATCGAACCCAGGACTTTCTTGCTGTAAGGCAGCAGCACTAACCACTGCACCACCATGCTGGCCTATTTGACATATTTTCAATATTAAATACAAAAAAAATGTAAATACAAATAAAAAAAATGTATTCCAAAAAATCTTTAATTAGGCTACTAGAAACACATAACATACTGTTCCACTTCATTTGTACAACTTATTTTAAGCGTTTTTGAGGCATTTCAATTAGAATATCTTCTAAGCAAGGATACGCAAGTGGCAAATGTTTAAAATGCTCCACAATTTTTCTCCCACAGGTAACAGTGTCACTTGTACATTGTTGTGATCGCAGCCCTTCATATATCACAAGCTGTAGCGAGAGCACAAAACAGCCCAAGCGACTCCCAAATCATCCACTGCTTTTTTCATGTTACTCGTGTTGTCTCACACAAATGCATGCAGTCTGTTTAGTGTGATTTCCCACTAAATGCTACTTCCACCTCTCAAAGCTTTGTTTTTATAAAGATTGCAAATTGCTGTGCTACTAGTTGCTGTTAAAAGCGTAAAATGCTTCATAGTCACCCTCTTATCTGATGTTCTTCCACCCCAGCTGCTGCAAAGGGTATGCGCATGATGTCACAGCACGCCAAAGTCACTGCGATCACACCCACTGAGTGGCAAAAAACCTGAGTGGCAGCGTTAGCTTGAATTCCGCAAAAACACAACTAAAATGGGAAAGGGCTATCGTGTGATTTAACAAGAAATAAGAGCTATCTTTTCACAGACTGTCAAAAACAAATAAGTAAGAATTGAAAGTGGATCAGTTGGTCGATACCTGATCTGCCTAATAGGTCTGAATCAGTGCCGATACCGATCTGAATATCGGATTGGTGCACCTCTACATAAAATATTAATATTTTGAGCTCAATCAATATTCCAATAACAATATGTCTTATTTGAATACTCACCATTAGCAGAATGCCTAAGAGGCTGAGTCAGAACTGAGTCTATCATTTCTGAGTCAGAGTTAGGCTGAGCTCATGACCTTCTCCATGAACGTTTCGTGCAGAGCCACTTCCTCCTGACATTGCCTCCCATTGTGGCTCCGTCGTCCCCAAACCAGGCTGCGATTTTACTCCAGGCATCGGCTTTCTGCCAATATGGTAGGCAAATACCTGTAAGGCCACAAAATTCCTGCATGGTTTTTTGAAAGTCTTATCAAAAGCCAGAACATTATTATTGTAAATCGCCTCTACATTAGAAGGATAAACAAACTTGGAGCCAGACTTTGAGGCTAATTGTCTTTGTAGGATTTATATCCATTTTAGGTGCTAGAATGGTCAAATTATAGACATATTCAATTTTAGTATAAACTAATTATTTAATTCTAGATATATTTAGCATAATTTTAACTAATAGTTATCATTATTTGCTTTCTTATTTGAGAATTATGTTTCTTTATAGCAATAGCAGTACAAAAGTATTATCTGAATGCACAGCTTGGAGTGGTTCTGGAAAAAAGGGGACTCTACCTGGAACTACACAGGCGAGTGGCCACTGAATGTATGTTAGTAGTAGAAATATAGTGGTAGGAAGCTCCCTGTGGAAGTTATACAGAATTATCCCAATTTCCTTCAAAATGAGGAGATTTGGACCTGCTCCTGAGATACTGAAAAACATACTGAATTTAATTTTTTTTTCATTCAAGACATATATTGTATTTTCTTCTTAACTTGGAACTTGTGTCTGGTAGAAAGATCATATGAATATATTTTTGGAATTTTAATAGCAATAATATATATTTCTAAATGTATGTGTCCTTATTTTGCCTTTGTAGATGGGTATCAAACAATGCATATTAATAAACTACTAAGTTCATCAACTGCATCGTATTTCTTTAGAGATATTTGTTCTTCTAAGTGCCCTTGTTTTCTGGTTTTATTCTTTAGATGTATTATTTTGTTTACACTGCATCTGTGTTAGTTTTTAACAGGCTTGTGACCATGTTAAAATTCAAATTCATGTTCACATACTTACCACCATTTTTAGGAAAATTAACAGAAAGCAAAGGAGGTAGATTCGACAGTGACATCCACTTCTGCTACAAGGCAGTGAGGATGCTTGATTATGAGCTGAGCTGGGAAGATGACCTCTTCACTTTAACCTCCTCCAGAAACAGACACTTCATGTGGATACATTTCCACTGAACCCCCTTTTCTGCTCTGATACTACTCTACTTTGCTCCCAGTTTTGCTGCAATTTCATTCCACTTGCTGGATTTTGGCTGCCAGGAGGTTTCATGGGCCAAAAACTCCCATCTCAGTGTTATTTCTTTCAGTTTCCTCTTCTTCTTTGCTATATTACATCCAAAGTGGTTTCTCTTCTGCGCAGTACATAAAAATGCATAATAATGTTAAAATAAAATAATATAGAATAAGTCGAGAGAGAAGGGAAGTAAACACTGTTCTCCTTCAAACAGTTTTATATTTCCGATGATTAGATATATTTATATATTTATATTTATAGTAGCTTATAATGTGCTAATAAATGTTCGCTCAATATGTATCAAAAAACCCTTCAAAGACTGCATATTCACGCATTTTTACAATACTGATTAATCATTACATAAAGTGATTTTATTTTTATAAATAATGAGACGTATGACCTCGACGCTAACAATGACACTGCTGTCATTTCGAGCCGAGAGGATAAATGAAATCCAAAAGGTCCCATGACATACAGTTTATGATTGTCTGTAGTATGATAATTAGTGTGACCTAAAAAGAACGGGATGTTTTTATATTGTTAATTGATCAAAGGATACAGCTAAATCTCACTGCCGACATAACCGAATATCATGGATTCGGCAATGTAACGTAGCAGTGGCTAATCCGAAAAAAACAAGACCTGTAAAACAATGTAGTAAAAACGCACGAACTCGAGTAACCAACAGCAGGTTAAGTAATGAAATAAAAACAATAAAACCACATACTGCTGACTAGGTAGTTTAAGGTATCATGTAGGTTATATATCTAGCAAATAGTACTACATGATTATAGTACAGGAACAAGAAAAGCTACCTATTTCACTTTAGTGCAAAGAACGGCTGTTCGCGATATTCTTCTGTTTCAGTGGTGAAGTAACCTACTTAGAACGACATGTGCGCATTTTGTTATTCATTCAGCCTACATTTCTTTTCGCCACCTTAACTGTCCTCGTCTTCTATTTCGGCGGTTGTTTTACTAAATCGTATGAAAATGATTTATGGTATAGCGCCGCCTACTGTAATGGAGGGCGGATCCGAAATTAGTTGAACTGCCAAAAAGAGATTCCGGATTGTTACCATAATAAGAATCTTAGTGTAGTATTGTGACACTAGAGTTACACTAGTCTTTGTCCTCGAATAGAAATTTTTTAATTTAGACATTACATGTCATTTAAACTCGCACTGTATTATTTTTAATCTCATAAAGCTCTTTCTTGTTTTTCTTTGGTACACAAATGAAAAATGTACACAAAGAAAACAATTCAATGTGGGGACCATTTTTCAGGGGGTGGAGGCTGCGTATATTACATTATGGGGTTCATATGTGATAAAAATTATTTTGACCTTGTTGGGACATTTTTCCAGGGAAAGTTAATTATATTAAAAAAATATGTGAATGCGATTAAAAAAAAGAAAAAGAAAAAAAAATGCCCAAAGTATTTTTGTTTATCTAGTTATGATTCAGGTTAGGGCTGAGTAGAGGTTAAGGTTGTCATAGTTGTGATTAGGGTTATGCCCACAGAAATGAATGCAGAGTCCCCACAAAGATATAGATACTAGATCTGTGTTTGTATGAGTGTAGACTCTCCATTCTCTCCTACTCTGTTTTATTAACAGAAGTGGCCCTACAACAAAGAGTGTTACCATTCATATTGAGTGCCGCTTCAGAATGAAGTGTAAAATTAATATGAGGAGAAATGGAACAGGGCCTGAATGAGCATGCATGAGCGGATTTTCTGTATGCTATAAAGTATGCTTGCACAGAAATTATGCAAAAAGACCCTTTTCTGCTGTGCATGAGTATCTGGTTTTTGGCATTTCCCCCTGACCATTGATGCTTCCCCTATGGTCTATGCTAACTGAATTCCTGGCAGATTATGTGTAATATTATTTTGTACATATATATTTCTGGCATTAAGTAATGTATACAGCATTTCTTTTTCACCCTCCATGTAAATCATACCTTTTGTAGGTAGGGTTGCAGCAATATACTGTTTTCACCATGGTTTATAACACGGTATAAAAATCAAAATCATACTATGTACATTTGCTTATTACTGGTATTGAAAACAAAATGCAACCAAACGTCTGAACTGCTGTTAATGATTCTGCTGACTGAAAAAAATAAGCAGTTTTCTTTACTTGTCATTTTATGCATTCACTCTTAGTTTGACTTCAGAATTCACTCCATTCGTCTATTTCCAGGTTTTGGATTAACACTATTACTTAGGCCCAAATATCACACTTTGAACTGAAATATGAAGTTTGGCATATTTCACATTTGTTGCAGTCATATTCATATCACTCCAAATCAGTGGGATTAGAAAAAAAAAAAACGTTTCAGTCAGTATTTACTGTGAGTATTGTTGCCCCTCATTAGTCTTTGTAAATAAGTCCCTGTTTTTCTCATCATCCCCCGTTTGCTCATTTACATAAGTCCTCCTGCCTGCAGCCTCCCCAGTGCTCGTCTTCCCATTCTGATCCCTTGTGCTTCCTTTTGTTTCCC